GTATGACCATACTTTCTTCTGTTAAGATACTTGCTTTTGTATTACATACAAATCCAGACACAGCGTCGGAAACGTCGGAAACGTCGGAAGTCGGATAAATTTTGGTATGGTGATCGGCAGAGATTTGATGAGTGCTTTAGGAATTACTCTTAATTACTATTAATTTCAAAGATAGCCAAGTGGAGTGGAATGGCAATGCGGTGGCAGTGAATACTGGAGCCATTGCTGCATCGGGCGTCGGAGACAAGCAACAGGCGGAGGATGAACTCCCGCACTTGGTGGAACCCAAAGAACTCAAAGAGATTAATGGCACATCTGTGAAACCGGTCGAGTTAATAGGGGACGCTGAGATTGATAAGAAAACGTACGAGCAGGTCGTTGAGCTGTTGACCTATTATGAGAGCCTATAATGGGCATGTAGGGAAAATGAAGATGTTCTACAAATCCTGGACCCGTACACGCCAATTCACACGCGACCGTACACAATTCCGAGGAGTGAGGAGGAGGGAGCACGTAAGGAGATTCATCAACTCCTTCAGTACGATGCCATCGAGTAGATATTTGATGGCGAGTGGGCGTCGCCCGCGTTTTCCTTCAAGAAGCCTGACGGAAGGCTTCGATTGCTCACGAACTTTCACTGGCTAAACAAGTTCGTGAGAAGTCTCCCTTATTGTGCGCCACTAATTTGCGTAGTGCTTTCTCGCCTCGGTGAAGCTAGGTATTTCTCAGCTTTGGATGCTAACATAGGCTATTATGTACGCCAGCTTGCGAAAGAAAGCAGGAAGTTTACACAACACTGCACGCCATTCAGTAAATTCCAGTATAAAAGACTTCCAATGGGAATATCTACGGCACCGGACGAATATCAGGCCTGTATGTCCAGAATATGTCGCGAGAACCCGGGGTGTTGCTTGCAAGGCAAGTTGATTAATGATAATGAAACGGAGACGAAGTAACCGACCTCTTTGTCCTCTCCTAGCCTCCTCTTATGTAGCCAGCGTTACCTCCTGAGCAACGCCGTAGATGCAGAGTCCACAGGCGCCCAGCTAGCGCCGTAAACAGGAATCCAGTTTGTTCGATGTAGCTTTTGTCGAGTCCGTGTCGGAGTTCAATGCCTTCATGCCGACGCGTGCAGCGTCGGCGTGTCTTCATCCAGTTACATCCACGGAGGTTGCGAGACGCAGCGCGTCACTACTCGTCGAGATCATTGCCATGATCAACCACAGCGACAGCAGCTTGACTCAATACTAGGAGATTCGGAGTTTGGCATCGTCTATTTGGACGACATTCCGATTTTCTCTAAGACGGCTCAAGACCATATTGAGCACCTACGCATAGTTCTGCAACGCCTGCGAGACTTCAACGTGACACTTAATGGGAACAAATGCTACATATTTTGCAGATCTGTTCAGTATTTGGGTTTCGCGTTGAGGCACCGGACCACAAGTGAAGAAGATCCGCGCTATTTTGCAGATCGCAGTGCCAAAGACTAAAACGCAGCTACGCCAATTCCTAGGAATGGTCAACTACTACCGTGAGATGATCCCGAGCAAGTCGCCCATGCTCAATCCACTCACTCGGATGGCGTCGTCGAAGGCCACATTGATGTGAACGTCTGTCGAAAATGAGGCTTTTGAGAGTATCAAGGCGGCGTTGGCTAACTCCGTGTTGCTATCGTTCCCTGACTTTATCAAACCTTTCGACATCGACGCTGATACTAGTGGGAAACAACTCGGTGGATTAATCCAATAAAAAGGAAAGCTACTAGCTTAAGTATAACGCCGGCACAGCAGAATTACACGACGATGGAACTGGAATTACTGTCGATAGTGGAAGAAGTATCGCTCAATGCTCCTAGGGTTTCCGAATGTGGTGCACCCAAACCACAAAAACTTGGTTTATCTCACAGAAAATTCGCTAAGCGTCAAGAGGTGGAAGCTTCTACTGTCCGAGTAGATGTGAGTACATTCGAGGCAAGTCTAATGTTGCAGCAGACGCATTGTCGCGACTGGGATATGAATCTATCACTGGCGGTGATAATGAGGTGTTTTCTGAAGCGCTAATAATTTCTCCTGTGGAGTGCGTTTTCGAAGGAGACTGCATCAAGCAACGTGAAGACGACCTCACGCAGAAATTAATCCAGTCTTGTCTGAGCGGCAGTGCAAATTCTGATTATCGCATTGAGAATACCTGAGGTGCACGATTATTGAGCTTCCAGAAGCGCGTTGATCCCCTCCGCGTTACGCGACGAGTTCGTGGAATGGCATCATTTAAACCTGGTTCATTGTGGGCCTAAACACCATTATCTCACGTTGAAGCCAGCCGGGGACAAAACGCAAAACCAACCAGCATTAATACCGGTCTTCATTTTATCTTCAGAGCCTCTCTGGAGGTGTAGAGTAGAGCAGGGGTGCGAAAGAAAAAGTCGACAATTTGTAATAGCACGTTTTCCCAATGATCTGTCTTAATTATCTTAAGAGGCCTCAGTCGCAAAAAGTGAAAATTTCGCGAACTATGGATGCGTAGCTTGGATATCTGTGATATACAGTATACGGTACAACAGTATATGCAGCGAACAGTTGCGTTTTCGCGCATAATTAGTCAACGCTGAGCTATTTTCGGATCTAACTGTGTCATTTTGAATGCAAATACTCAGATATTCACAATTATATCGTATTTTATGGATAAGACATTGACTTATTTATAAAACTTATATTTCGAATAGCCTGGTATAAACGCCAGTTTAGCTCCACTGTACACTGCAGACACTGGTTCATACTTCATCCAATAGCTACATATGCTTCTGTGGGTAGTTGGGAAGAGGTTGCAGGCTGTGGTGAGGGTGGAAATAGGCAGGCTTACTAAGGAGACGCCGGCTCGGTAACCAATTCCGGTGAAAGTCCTGGCCTGGAGCTTTATGTTATCGTCCGATCGTACTTGTCTTAACTTTGACCTGGTGATTTGCCACTGTGATCGAGATTTGTTGGGATAAAAAGGTGAAGTTCGAAATATTAGCATCTCCATTCTACAAAACGTATTTCTCAAGATAGTTATTACGAATTCGTGTTTAACTCTATTTTTCACGAAACAGTGCATCATACGCAAAGACAGAATTTTTGCTATTGTTATCTAATGGGGTTGGTAGTAACTGTTGATCCATAGTTGTTCCTCTTGATAGCATCAAAAATCAACTGGAGACATATTTCTCCCATGCATATTTTTGTATGGATATCATTAGATTGCGAATCTAAAGTTGCTAAGATTTCGTATGGCGCTCTGCTGTCAGGGAGTAAAAAATCCTGACTTGTAGTTCATCAAACACCGATTTGTGATGTACTCACAGTCGAGTATAATCAAAAGGCTGGCGGGTTTGAGAATCGTCACATTCACACATCTATCTGACCAATACATCGCGCCACCAAGGTTGATGTACCAATAATTCCTGGCAAACCGGACTCTTACTAAGCGGGCTGACCATTTCGTAATCCGCTACAAACTCCTGTAGCCTCTTGCAATACACTAGTGACATACAGTACTACTACGACACCGTCTCGGGCATTGGCACCCTAAGTCTCTTGTAGTCGTCGCATTCTCTGGATTTTACTGATTTGTCATCGCCACTGGATGCAACTACTTATGAAGACCAACTTGATCTCGACTTTCAAACGATACAAGACGTTGAGCTAGCGGATCTGCTTGCCGAGGCAAGCAACTGGATGGAAGAACGCATGGTCGACACAATAGCAGAAATCCCTTCACCCACGACAAGGCGTGGGCGTCGAGTAACGCCAAAGCAACAAATAATTGAGTTGCAACGGTCGGCTCACCAGCTCACTCTACACCTCCAAGAGCTGAAGGCAGCTCAGCCTTCGAAGGAGGCACACATTCATGGTTACAATCGTCTTTCTGGAGCATCAAACAGACGTGCGTGGCAACAAACCTCAACAGAGAATGTGCGAAAAGGAAAGAAGCTGAACAAAGCAATACTCATCTACGAGCGATACTTCAGGTTCAAATGAGCGAGACAAAAACTCTCAAACGATCGTTTCAACGATGGAGCACAATTGAGGTACGTAAAAGTTGTTTTACTAACGAGTTGCATACTAGACTCTCAGTTGCCTTTGGGTTGCAGATACTGGAGAACATACTAGGTGAAAAAGATGCGAAGATCTCATCGCCGGCCGTCACAACTAAGCCGAAAGACAATTCACAAGTATTTCAACGGATAACCAGGGGAGCAGGCGAGCTTTATGCTGACGTGGACAACCTCATTATCGAAAAGGGTTTCTCTGATGTCGTATCCTGACCAGAAGAAAAGTGTTGGCCGTACATTGGTTCGCGATGGCCTTTACCATGATATGGTGATTCAGCACATCTTACCGTTTGGCTTTCGTGACACTGAGAAGGCTGTATGGACTTGTCTGCAAGAGATTGGATTGGGTAGTGTCGAAGATGTGAAGGACTACTCGAAACACGTTGACTACCATCCACAGCACGAGGAAATGTCCGATAATACGTTTATTACGAACTTTTTTGTGTCAACCCCAGATCAAAAAGAAATCAGAGGTGTACAAGCCAGACAAGTTGTGCGCAAGTACATCGAGGAAACACTTACGGTGTTTATCTGCCAGACCCCATGTACTCCAAGGTTGGAGGGAATCGATAGTGCCGCTGGTCATCAAATTTCCAACATGTTGCGAGTAACCGTGGAGCATCAAACATTACAAGGAGAAGACGCGGCAGCTTCAGTACTTCGCTTACATTTCACTACGCCTTCGCGTGAGATATACTCCATGAATTCGAGTTTTCGGGCCCCGGGTCTCCATTTGACTATTACACATTTAGAAATCATCAGCTGTCGCTTACCCAACGCAGTCGAGAATTTCCTCGTCGACAACTCCGCTCGAGCTAGTTGTTAAATAACTCAGGCTTTGAGTTTCAGAGTAATGAGCAAAATTATATTAAGTTAGAGCATTATTTTTGACGACATGCACTCATTTAATTGTGAGAGAATTAAACGCAGTTGTCGACTATACACCTCCATTGGCGTCAGGAATGTGAGAACACAAGGCCTCTCGTACTGCAGCTCCAAACCAGATTGCCATGCAAAAGGTGCACTCATTAGTGGGTGGTGATGCAGAGCCCGTAGTTTCAGCTAAACGATACTATCTCTCGACAAGGGACTATCGGCTATTCATTTATGCCTCAATGTCAACAAATACCATAAAAGCCGCAGAGGATCGAATGCCAATTAAAGCAACGCCACTTCCGAGCTAAGGCTCCATATTATCAGGGTGCGTATTAAGAAAACATGTATTCAAAATGGCGCCTCAGAACTTTAAGATGTGTCAAAATCGCAGACTTTCACGCTAAATTGTTTCTGTGGAAAAGGTATCTGTACTAGCTATCGTACGCAGGATCTGTGCGATAGTCGTCATCCATGGAATTTCTTGGTCGCTTTTCGCTTATAAATCTCTTTATCCACTATAATACATGGTGGAATATTAGAATCACGACATACCAAAAGCATTATGCATAAATACGTTACCTCCATTCTCTTTCGTTGTTTGAGAATGCGCTTCAAGCCCTGGGACTCTTCTAGCACAACTTGGACCATCGCTCTAAGCTGGGCATTGTTTTTCTCTGCTTTCTGACGGCGCCCAAGCTGTTTGGCTGCAATTTTCTTCCAAAGCGATGCAGACGACGGTAGTGTAGGCGCCTTGCCCTGGCTCGAGTTATTTCCTCGCTGAGCTGCCTCGAGTACATCTAGCTGACTCGTCAGTTCTTTGACCATGTCTTTTAGCTCAATTATTTGGTTTTTTGTAGTAAGACGATTGCCTCGCTTAGCCTTTTGATTCGTATTTCCCGAATGTTCCTTGAGCTGATGGGAATTTCCTTGACATTGATCAGTGGTCGAGTTGATCCAGTTCCGACTGGACGTAGGCTGAGCTGTAGATATTCCTTTGAGAAACTCGTCGATGTCTGCTGTTTCCATTAGCAGTATTGCCGTTGGCGAGTCAAGGACCGGGTCTGCATTTTGTGTGTCATAAGTGAACTCGAGACCATGCAGGGGATGCATATCGAGTGGCAACGGTGCGTCAATGTTGCTGTTGATATTATCAAGCGGTGAGAAGATCGATGATATGTTGTTCGCTGTTCGCTGCATTTTGTCGAATGCGATGTCGACTGCGATGATCTTAGCGACGAAATTCCGTGGTACGCGCGACACTGACGTTACACGATAACCCGAGACCTGCAATTGGTTCGTCACGTTTGATCAGGCATGGCGAGTAGAAAGTGCAAACAGAGGTAGACTTCAGCTCAGTCCATTGTCCGTTGCTCGATCAGATATGTATGTACCAGCTTTATTATTGAATGCATCTACGGTGTATGAGTTTGTTCATCAAGCCCTGTAGCCTGATGTACTTCTGTGGATAGCCGGATTCGATTTTAGCATGAGAGTTGTTTCCTCACGCCATCTTTATCAACAAATAGCATATGTTAGATAGCAGCGATTCGTCACATTGACAACCATGGCTTTTGAAGTACCGCGCCGTTGGTTCATTCCGCAATTCCCAACGCCCATGGCTGATATCCCTACTGAAGGTCCTTCTCCATGCAGCGTGCCCCAAGCCACTCTACTTCGCCGCCATTCCCTTGAGTTCACCGATGTTGTCGTGCTACAGAATGTTGAGCCCCACTACGACCGACTTGACCTGAGTATTCAAACAACAAGCGACTTTGAGCTTGAGGGTCTGCTCGGAGAGGTAGACACTTGGATGGATGAGAACACAGTAGATATAATTGCCGGTGTTCCAACACAAGCAAAAAAAGAGTCGCAGCAACTTGAGTACGACGACTTGCAACCTAAGTCAACACGAGGGATACGAGTTACGCCAAAGCGCCAAATTCGAGAATTGCAGCAGTCAATCAACCAGCTCACTCTGCAATTGCAAGAGCTCAAAGCTTCTCAGCTATCGACGGAAGGAAACGATGGCAGCCGAAGCCAGTTGACCCGACCGTCAACTGTGCGTCTTTGGCAGCAGAGTACAGTCGCCGAGTGTGCAAAACGACAAAAAGCAGAACAAGAAAATGCGCAACTACGAGCGATTCTGCTGGTTCAACTGGAAGAAGCTAGATCTCTGAAGCGGTCACTGAAGCGGAGGACCAAAACCAAGGTACATAAGCTTCTTCACAAAGCAATTACTCATTCCGCTGAACAAACTAATCTCATCTACCTTTGACTTGCAGATGCTGGAGAACATGCTAGGGATAAAGCGCTCGAAAAAGATATCCTCTGCCGTCACAACTGAGCCAAACGACAATGCTAAAGTTTTCCAAAGGATGATTCGGGACTCAGACGAATTCTATGTTGGTGTAGACAGCCTCTTCACCGAAAAAGGCTTCTCTGAGTTGCGATACCCAGGGCAGAAGACAAATATCAACCGCAAATTGGTGGGCGATGGGATTTACCTCGAAATGATGATCCAGCATGTCTTGCCGTTTGGCTTTCGCGACACTGAGAAGGCCGTGTGGGTTTGCCTTAGTGACATGGGGTTGAGCACTCTTGTAGATGGAACAGACACAAGGAATCGCGTCCATTTCCACGCTCAGCACACAGAGAGCTCCCAGAATGCAGTGGCATGCAGTTTCTTCGCAGCTACACCGGACCAAAAAGGAGTCAGTGGTGTGCAGACCAGACAGGTTGTGCGCAAGTATATCGAGGAAAATCGCGCGGTATTTATCCACCAAAGCTTGGGCGAACCAAAGCTCGAGGGTAGCAACTCTTCTGTTGGTATTCAAATGCTCAACGTTTGGAGAATTACAGTGGAGCATCAAGCAAAACAGAATAATCGCGATGCAGCTTCTGTGCTTCGTCTACACTTCACTGCGTCTTCTCGTGATATGTGGTCCACCGGTGCGAATTTTTGGACGCCTGCTAGACTCAACATGACCATTGCATATTTTGAAAGCACAAACTCTCGCCTACCAGACGCTGTCGAGGACATCCTGGTTGACAAATCAGTGGGTAATACATCAACATAGGTATTTTTGAAAAGACATTTGTTTAAAAAAAATACATATTTGATCCTTTTTTTCATCGATGCAGGTAGCTCTTTAATGATCGAGTGCTCAGCGATTTTGCACTCTACACCGTAACAAAGCGCACCATTTGTACAATACTAGTATCATTTAAGGTGTAGAAGGGTCTGTAGGATTTTAAACCTGCTGATGAAGTTTTGTTGTGTGGGCATATATATAAATGATGCTTATTATCTTGGACCACTGCTACGAATTCTTGGACACCCGGGTTACGCGTATTTATTGAACCTTTGAAGCTGTTAAATCATCGATTCATGCTTACATCTTGTCGGTAACTCAGTTTGGGCCTCTTCACTTCGGTAACTTGTCGATACAGTATTGAAGGTTGCGGAGGCAACGGAGAGTCGCAAGCTGGAGAAGTTGCAGACGAAGGCGTAGTTTCCCGATGTCGAAGTGTTACAAAAGTTAGATTGAGTAGGAGAGCGCAGAACCCTCGACAGCTTAGGTCATTCTTACATTCGCTTCGTCAAAGCTAACCCGCCCCGCCACGCCCATCATATGACAAAGAAGGAAGTTCATTTGTCATTATTGGAAACGGTAATTATCAACAGACGATCAATTCAAAAGTGCCTCGATCTTGTCGCCTTATGCCTTCGTCCGCGTTTTACTGCGATATGAAGAACTTTACAGCTGGCTAGCCAACCCAACAAGCGTATGCGATGATACTACCGATAATACCGGTATACTACTGGTATAAGCCTCTGTGGTACTGTCGGCACATACCGGTTCAAATTTGCCGCCCAGAAGTTAGCGTCGGTTAAGATAGACTCGATAGATAAAAAAAAAACATTTATCAACTGCGCAGTAGCATTCAGTTGTTAATTGATACCAACGTACTTCACTTACTTGAATTCTCAAGTTTCCTAGATTAACCCAAACACACCTAGCTTCGTTATCGCGTTTCTGCTAATACTTCTTTTAGATCAAGACTCGTAGATCAAGGTGCAGACTTTCTCAGTCCTAGAAGAGCAGTGCAAGCAGAGGTGCGGCTGCGCAGTAAGCGCAGGAAATGCTCTGATGGCCATGTCGAAAAAGAGGATGGATAGAGCAATGGTTTGTGTTATAGCCCATTGAACTTATGTGAGTCTCCTAAGGCAGGTTATTACGTTGTATTTTATAGTGCTTGTAAGGTGGTCGCGATCACAGCCTCACTGTAAACCCGATGTAGGGAATACATACTGCTTCCCTTTCGAAAAGGAAAAATATAATGAATTACGGTAACACGACAAGCGCTATATTATCGTTGTCGTGCTACCCCATTATATATTTTTTTCGCTTCTATTGTATCTCAGCCTTCGCGAAGCACTAGTTGCAATGTGCTGACACCATACCGGTATTGACGAGGGAAGCAGATCACGTCAATAGCATCTTGATTGTCATATGGTAGAATCTGGAGATTATCTCCCTCAGCGATTGCGGGACATTGATGACGGGACAAAAACTTCCCAGTCAGGTCAATCTACTCGACACGATCAGTTTGTCATCGGTCACCTCACGTGACAATGGATAACACGTCGTTTTCAGCAACGGAAGCTTGCACCGCAAGCCCACTGCGCATCGAGATTGATATGGCGCCGCGGGAGTCACTCGAACTGGACTTTAGTGCTCTCGACGTGTATCTTCGGGAGTATAGTCCAAGGGGACTGCTTGACGGATTCAACCATCCCTTATCGTCCGATACAAGCTCAATTACTAGCGGCAACTACAGCAATTCGACCGCAGCTGATCAGAGCAGCAACGAAAGTGGATCTGATGTCGACATGATTGAGGACGAAGTGCTCCATATCTCAAGAAAGAGCAAGGGTGCCAAAGCTTATCGCAACAAACGGAAAGACGAGATTGCGTACCTGCGCGACGAAGTTCAAGGCTTACAGGCTGAACTGAAAGCGCTCCAGTTCCGATCGACTCGCACGAGAAACAAGAGAACTAGCGATTCGACAGCACTGGTATCTTCGCGAACACAGCAACTGTGGAAGCAAGTCGCACGTTCCCAGCTCGATCGACTCCACAGATCGGAGGCTGAAAACGCGACTTTGAGAGAAATGGTGGCAGTTCAAGTTCTCGAAGCCAAGAATTTGCGTCGCATTCTGAGGCGTCGAGCAAGGATTGAGGTGAGATGAAAATATTCCTTCATTAGTCATGTAGTCGGTTGTGTCTAACGCAATTTCTCGATGAATACTGAAGATGATGCAAGAGATGTTCGGTGCTAAAGGACTCAAAAGTCTGCAGAAAGATACCGCAAGTAATGACTCGCGTGTTTTCCAGACCTTGCTGCATGATGTCGACGAGATGTTCGTTGAGATCGACAATCTATTCGCTACGAAGGGTATGGATCAACTGCCATGCAGTGGCTTCTCCCGCGAGACGAACCTGGAGATTGCCAACGGGGTCTTCTATGAGATGCGTCAGAAGCGAGAGCTTCCGTTCGACATGCAATCTACGGCGAACGCTGTATGGGAATGTTTCCGTCTACTTGGGTTGGCCAACTTGCAAGGCGTTGGAAGCTCAAGTGCAGTTTTTAACGTCCACCCAAACATCATGGAAGAAGATGGAGACACGATACGGAGCAGCTTCTTCGCCGTGATTTCTGGTGTCGGTGATTTAGAAGGGACTTACAACGAAAAGGTAGTGCGTCGATACAAGGATTCTCATCGCTCAGTTTTCATTTGCCGGGTGGTATCAAAACCGAAGTTTAAACATGGCAATCGAGGAGCCCCGACAACTTCCAGTGCGCAGGTTGTTCTAGAAGAGTCAGCAGACGACGTCAACACGACCGTGATGAAGGTGTATTTCAGCGCTGAGAGAGAGACACCAGCCGCGAAAGACGACCCAGCGACCGTCTTGGCGTTCGCTGCGTGGGACGAGCTGGTGCCTCGAATTCCTGTTGACATTGAGACGATTCTGCTGGATAATATCTGCAGAGCTTCTGCAACCCCAGCATAATAACCCGCGGCATTCTCATTTACTGTCCACAACGAACAACTTGCCTTTGAAGCACACGCTAGTAATATCCATGATACTGTTGCTCGCTTCACATTAGGATACTAAAAGTGGCCAGGCAATGTAGATGTCGGGTATCAAATGGACAAACACCCACTTCAACGTGGCACCGCAACATTCAATCATTCCGTAATCCTACTTTATTCCATTTTACGAATGCTATATACCACGAAAAGAGATAAGTAGGGTAAATTAGCCCATTGAAACACATGCACCTAGTAATGCGCATCTTTTAATCGGATACTACCGCTTTGGCATCAGCAGTCGACGAAAAGTAAGTCAAAGCTGAAATAACCGTGGAGACATACAAGTCATGGACCAGATCTCCAAGTTACTTGACGATCAATCCGTTTCACTAGATGAAGTCCTCGCGTTTATCGACTCTAGAGACTTTGATCTGTCAATGACCGAAGAACAACATCGACAAGTTGATAGCATCTTCTTCGACGACTCGATTGCCATCGAAGATGATCTATTAGTATTGGCATCAGATCAAATCTCGGGCGATACCAAAGAGACCAGTCTCAGCACTACCCACCAACCCGAAGCTGGTATCAATGTGGCTCCATCACTCCACAAGGCTGGCAGTAGTGACTGTCATTCTGGGTCATTGGTTCGTGCTGCTGTACCCACTGCTCCCTACGAGGAGCGCGGACGTGTTCGAGACCGCGTCATCCGGTTAAGAGCATTAGTCAAGCAGCTTGAACAGCAGCTCGAAGATCTCAATAGAAGGAAGGCTCAAGCGGCTAATGGCATGTCAAGAGAGGACAACAACGCACAAAGCGATGGTTACAAACAGAGCATTGACAACGTTGGAGGGACAGCATCTACTGCTCATTCTCACGACGATGTCGTGACTTGGCATGGGATTGCTATTCGGCAATATGCAGCGAGACGAGGGGCGGAAATGGAAAACTCGAGCTTGCGACAGCGACTGGAGGAGCAACTTGGACTGGCTAAGCGACTGAAAAATCTAATACGAGGTTAGCTATGAGCAAGTCTGCTGCGGACATGTGAATATGTACGCTCAGTCTTACAGGCATGCTGTAGAATAGGCGGAAGAATTCATTCTCTGAACAATTTACGAGTTTGAATACTGGACACATCACTTGAGCAGAGTAATCCATGAACGTTCGCACAGTATCGTGTCGCTGCACTCGTTGTGGCGTTGAAAGCAGCCTGTTTTCGACAGCGTGTCCTGTGAAAATCCATTCCAGCAAGGCTCTGCATCTTGAATGTGCAGCAAACCTAAAGGCGCCTGACCATTACCATAGTGACTTTATGCTTAGCACCCCAACACGGGGAACATATTTATAGTTCTCTCGAGGGTATTGATAACTAATCTTACAACCAACATTTCAATATATTAATACGGTGAGCGTGACTAAACAGTTAACGGCTGCCATTCCCTCGAGTTCTCGTCCTCATACCGCTTCCGTCAGCCTGACACATCGTCCAGGATTAAGAGGTTTGTGGTGGGATAGATCAACATGTGTGTAGAAAAATCCACCAGGACGCCATTCCTCGATCTGGCCAAGAGCTGCTGTAAATGACTTCCTCTCTCGGACTTCAGAACTTGGGTGCCACGGCAATCGAAGAAGACATGATCGGCGCGGACTTTGACCTCGAGTTTGCTAGTGACCTGGCTGGACTGTACGATCTCGACGAAGCTTTGGTGGTCAGGACGACTCTGAATCAACAGCATCACCCAGTGATTCCCAGGACATATACAAACACCCCGAAGTCAACGCACTCTACTTCGGTCCTGCCGTCCAACGAGGAGAATGAGATGGAGGAGGGCTTCCAAGCTGCTCTCGAGTTCCTTAACGAGTCCGAGTTCTTGGCGGACAATAGGCCTACCGCTGCGTCACCTATCGAGAACTATGACGCCTCCAGCACGTCAGCTTCGGACCCTGAAGACACTCATACTCATAATGCAGAGGACACTGCCAAGACGAAATCCAAGAGAAGACAGCGCATATCAGCCAAACAACAGATTGTTAGCCTACGTGGGACAGTTGAAGAGCTCACGTCGAAGCTACAATCGCTCGAGTCGGGAGCTCTGAAAGCAAAGGCCAAACAGGAGTCTGATCAGAATAGTGGAACGCCAGGAAGAGGACCACTATGGCAGCAGATTGCGGCGCGACAACTTGAGCGTCGGCAGGAAGCTGAAAGGGATAACGAGAAGTTACGGGCAATGCTGGAGTTGCAGGTCCAAGAGGCTAAGAATCTTAAGCGTCTTCTTAAACGACGCACCAGGATCGAGGTAGGCACTCGTGGCTGGAATATCGTCTTACTCTCCGTCACTAACTCTTTATTGTTTTCGTTCCTTTTATTTTGTTTAGATGATGGAGGAAATGCTCGGTGTAAAGCGATACAAGACAGTTACTAACGATTCAAGTGATGAATGCGTCGACATCTTACAGAAAATGCTCCAAAGTACCGATGGAATTTACGTTGGTGCTGACCATGTCTTCGAAACGAAAGGCATGGATCACGTGGAATCCCCTGGAAAGACACGGACAACTAACCGCCACGCTATCAACGACGTCTTCTTGGAGATTCTGGAGAAGCAGTTGGTCCCATTTGGTCGAAAGATGACGGAAAAGGCGGTATGGTCGGCACTGGGACAAATTGGAGTTCAGCCTCTGCAATGCGTCAAAGATGTCAACGCAAAAGTTGACTTTTACGCCCAAAACTCGCAGAAGACGGATGATACCATGATGGTCAGTTATGTTGCGGCAATGTCTGGCTTACAGAGCTCAGACGTGCTTACGTTTCGCATGCGGAAAGTGATGCGGAAATATTTCGATGGGAATCGGACAGTATTCATTTGTCTGATGGAGTCTCAGCCTCTGCATTGTGGCCAGCCAAAAGGAATTAAACTACATTGTACTATTCGCGTGATGGTGGAGAAAGACGTCGAAGAGGATACTACTTTGATCAAAAGCCACTACAGTGTGTCTCGCCATACGCCACAGAACGAGGTCGGGAATGTAGATATGGCGATTGCTGTCTGGGATGAGAATTTCTCTCGCGTCTCTGGTGAAGTCGAGAGCTTTTTGCTGGATGAAACCACATTGCGCGAGACAAATCTCAGCAGGCAGTAGAATGAACATAAATATATCTACCCACGAGAGCATTATCAGTATTTTACCATTCCAACATGTACAAATCTGGAGTCGGAGTACTCTCGTATTGCCGAATCCTAGTCGTTTGAATTCCAGCGTGACTGACATGTTAAGACACCACACTTCATATTACCAATGTTAAATATTATGAATCTAGTTGCATGATGCCCACTTTGAGCTCTTTGTTTACAAATTCCGCATCACAAACCCACTTTTTTTTCTTCTTCTTTTGGTAGAATGGGTAATAATAGCTACCTTGATATTCAAACCAAAAACCCGCTACTCATACTAACCGTTGATATGGGTTTCTGTACATTGCTTACTTTATTAAATGTATAGCTGACCATAAGTGGACATTATTTAGAAGTAGCATATATTCATTGTACCAGCAAAGCTTGAATCATGCTGTGTTCTACTTTCGCTTTCGTTGGATTGACTACTTCGTCATCAGTGATCACTAAACTCCGTCAATCAAATATCTCAAAATCGAGTACCTTTGTAGCGTACATCGATTCGATTGTTTGGATGAACAGCAGTACCGTAGTGTGTTCCTCTACCCCGTCGTTTAGATGAACTAAGCATGCATAAAAAGTGGTCATTCCACTGCCCATTCCAGCTTCCACTCACACGTCTAGTAAATTACAGTAGACTTCCTTCTCTCCATTATGCATTGTCTATAAACAAAACGACATTCCCAATTTCACGCGTTAACGAAGCATGTCGTTCAGCTCTGAGTATCCACCGGCAATCGGATCGCTAAGCGATAATATCATTGGCAAGGTGATGCAACGCGTCTTACCACCCCATCGCTACTCTACTAGTTGCAATCCAAACCAAGCGAATAAGGCAGAGCAGACAGCACAGAACCGCGATATCTCCAGAGTATGCTCAAGATTCACGCTTTCATCAAATACGCAGACTACGGCAGCGTCCACATCACTTTGTTCAGACAAAATTGTCCCGCGATTCGAAATCTTGCTACCAAACCGAGAACGTCCCGCTGTTATACCCATAACGCACCATACTGATGACAGACGTCGAGGTTACGTCTCTCCAGACGAAGTCGATGAGAATGAGGCAGCCATCGAGTCTCGTCGAAAGCGAATTCGGTTGACTCAAGCACGATATCGACAAAAGCTGCTCGACAAGCCGAAGCGACTTGAACTGGCCATCCAGCAGCTTAAAGAACAAACACAGCATCTCGAATATGAGCGCAACCAGATCGTGGGCGGATTATCGTCCCAAAAAACCGTTTGGATTGCGGCAGTGGAGTACCTTCGCATCTTTCAGCGCGGCTGCAAAGCGCCACTAGGAACCAACGTCGTTGACATGGACATCTTGAAGGCACTGGTCGCATCTAATGTAGCCTTTAGCGGCGGCATTGGACTGGATGTGCTGATACAGCATTGGCGTGTCTTGACGCAATACTTCCCAGACATTTCGATCCAACTCAAAAGCCTACACCAGATTACGGACGAGTCGGTAGTAGCAGCCACAACAACCACGATCACCATGTCGGATGCGTCGATGAAAAGCGCATTCCCCCATCTATTGAATGGAACGACCGCAAGTCGAATCGTTACCAAACTGCAAGGCCAGCGGCTGGAGTTGCAAGGATCAGTACGCTTGTACTGGGACAACGCGATTAGTCGAGTCGTGAGTATTCAGGCTCAGGCAGACATGATGACACCACTCATGCAGTTACTGGAAAACGTGGACGATGTCTCATTAGTTTTCGCCCACGCTCTCATTACTCCCGAGTGCAACCTGGAACTAGGGAATTGAACTTGTCTATTTAAATGCGAAAGATTTCAGCTGTGCACTCTAGGAAGTTACGGCAGTATCTATCCTGATTGAAATGTCTAATCCCCGAATCGGAGGATGCATCGAAACTTACGATACTGAAGGGTTAAACTTGCTTTTACAATACCAAACCAGTGTACTGGCATCCAGCATGCCGTATGCTTCAACTAATTGAACGAGATGGAGTGTGTTACACTAAAGTGGAATACAGTATTAATGTCTACAAACTACACTGAAATCCGAAGATGGACTAACAGAATATGCATCTGTTCGATATGTACAACGGGCGCGTTCTTGGAGCGAGAAATCAAGGTTGTACTTTCCTGGTACCTGTAGTGCTCATTACGTTAACGGTCTTTCTTAAGCCTACAAACCAACCGACATTGTGAGTATAAAGTCAAAACAATCGTATAACCTCTGACGGCAAACGGTCATCTCTCGATCGAGAGTTTAAGTTATATGGAGTGAAGTTTGCCTGGACGAAAAGACGAAGATGCACGCGTTGAGCGAAACTGCTGACGGCGACGAAGTTCTTGAAGCTTCTTGTCGATATCAGTCAATGGAAAATATGTATGACTGATAGTCATACAAATGCGTGACAAAATATGACATCTCACACGTATTACGGGCATATACTTATGAGTGGCTTGCAGTAACAGTGACTCTCCCGATACAGTAGCCCGATTCGGCAATACAACAACACTGTACACCAACAAACTGCGCTTGTCAGACTGACGATAGACCTACCTGGAGGGTGGAATGATGTTAAGTGATGCATTTATTATACTAATACAAAGTCAAGTACATGCACTCTTCGTGTCGAGCTTCGTTTAAGGCAAAGGGATGGTAAAAGGCTATGATGGTTGCCATGCTCACTGCAGCGACGGTAAGAAGACCCCTATGTAATACTGACAGCTGCACCGACATTTTAAAAGAGAGGGTGCGGGTGGAATCCTGGGATGGAGAAAATGCTTGGATTACATTATGTGCGAAAAGAAACAGGAATGTCCGCACGTACAATATACTGAAGTGGGTTAGGACTCTAAGAACTGCAAGAACTGCGTCTTCAATGCCTGGTCTACTCACAGCCTGTCAGATGCGTGCTTGAAACGTCTATCCCAGTTGGGATAGATGAGATGCTGGTGACAGATGCGTTTTGTTATAATCAAAAGAGTCATTTTCAAGTTAGTTCACATGTTATTTAAATTTTGGCAGATGGAAGGGAATTTTTGGGTCCTCCCATCTGGAGCCAGTTATTGTACCATCACGAGTGAGCCTTGATTTGAATCTGTTGGTATTGACTTAAAACCGCAACCTGTGACACTGTGGCTTGCGTCGTCGGTGACATTCGATTTGGTACGACCTGATCACGTCCACGCCTGCAAACCGCCAGCTGATCCCTGCTCACCCGACGACCACACGATTCGAGGCCTTTGTCATCATCAGTCAGTCCTCAACTCTCCCTCCACCACTCGAGACCTCTCGGTATCACCTAGATCATGAACACTTCGTACGCCCCCTCTCTCCGTCGAACCCACTCCCTCGAGTTTCAAAACAGTCAACAAGCTGAGCTTGACTCCTTCGAGGATCACCTCGACGCCGACATTCATGCAGCTGCCCAAATGGTCGAGTACTTCGACGTCGATAAGCTGTTGAATGAAGTCAGTACCCCCGTTTCGAGTGCACCGAGGCGAGAAAACTTGACAGAGTATCCATTACTAACTGGTTATTCCAGCGTCGAGTTAACAGAGGCCGTGAGTGATCGATACATCTCCGAAGCGTCCGATGACTCGGCCAGTAGTGAGGTGACAGATTCTGCTCGCATCGTTAATATGGCGTCAGCTGAGGCGACGAAGACTCAACGAATGTCCCGCAAAGATGAGATTATCGAACTGCGCGAGTCAGTGGAGGTGTTAACAGACCAACTGGAAGCACTGAAGGCAGCCCCGTTCCAAGAAGCACAACCACCAAACCAATCCAATGTGGATGTTACATCACGACCCAAAACATCGCTATGCAAGTACGCAGCGATCCGACAGCTAGGAAGACGACGAAAAGCTGAAGAAGACAACGTCATGTTGCGAGAGATGTTGGAGATGCAAGTGCACGAAGCTAAGTGCTTGCAGCGCATCCTCAAACGCCGAACAAAAATCCAGGTAGGATTGAGTGCGAGTACTTGTTGTTACTCGATAGAGTGACCTAATGTTGTATTGCTTGTTAGATGATGGAAGATATGCTCGGCATGAAGCGCCGTAAGACCGCCCGTATCGCCTCGGCTCCGAAGGACAATCAGCATATTTTCATGAAGATGTTGCAAGAGACTGATGAAACCTACGCACGCGTGGACAGCCACTTCGCTGAGAAGGGAGTCACCGATCTCCCTTGTCCAGGGTCGAAGCGCAAAGTCAACCGCAGTGCGATGAACGGCGTCGTCTTTGAGATGATGACAAGAAACCTACTACCATTTAGCCTTCAGAGCACGGCAAGAACAGCTCGTGTGGTTCTCAACGACCTGGGAACTAGTGGGCTGAAAAGAATTGAGGACGTTGACGAACAGATCGACTTCCACGCTCAGGAATCGGAAGAATCGCGCGATACACTCGTCGCGAGTTATTTCTCTGCGACTCCTGGACATCCACTGGCAACTGGAGCTCAAGTACAGAAGGTAATGCGGATGTATATTGAAGAAGACTGCGCGGTCTTCGTCTGGAAGATGGTCGCAGAACCCAAACTTCGAGGTAGCAACGCTCCCATCGGCTATGTGCTTCAGTCGACTCTGCAAGTGGTCATGCGTCCTGGAGAAACTCCAACACTCAGCGGAGATGAGTCGACGCAGCTCTTGATTCACTTCAGCGCATCTCGTCACGAGACTGGCTTCCCTATCAATGCTGAATTCCGAGAACCAGAACACATGGACAGTGGTATTGCCCTGTGGGAGAAACTCGTCGCGCACATTCCTCATGGGATTGAGAGCGGGCTGATCGATGATAAGTGTGCTACCAGCCACGAGAACGAAGTGCCATCACTAAATACGTAAGCTCAATAATACACGAAGTTGATATGGATTGTTCGTAAACATTGCATCTGACTTTTCTTATACAATTATAATAAGTATTATGTGATGACGCTACAAATCCGTGGCTTCTTTGTAAGACGTTCTTCACATTCCGCTTCACGCTTTCGTTTTTTTTTTTTTTTTTATCAGAACCTTATTTTCTCTACGTCTTGGGACTACTCTGATCCTCCACTAGGCATCGGTAAGTGAAATTCATGTAACCTCGTCCGAGTGGCTGTGCTAGTCCTTGAACTAGTGTTCACATCAGGATGCGTTGTGGTCGCTACTGTCTTTATTATTTCGCTATTTTCGAAAGGCTACACACAAAGTGCTGTTTCTAATAGGCCCGAAGGTTTAAATTCTAATCAAGCGATTGATGCATTCACTACCTTCAGCATCAATGCCTGGCACTTTTAATTGTTCCTAAAAATTTCGTTTCTACCCAAAAATATAACAGGCTCAGACCGTTACCGACGTACACTAGCGATCTGGGAAGGTGTATTGTGTTTTGAACTCTGAAAGATATCTACCGAGACGACCTCGACACTTGAGGCCGTCACAACCAGTGGATACGCGCACAGCTCTGATTGGTCAGCGCGATGGCACGGTGGCGACATTGTGAGCAGGCCCCGGGAAAAAATAATATCCGCGCAGTAATGACTTTATTGTTATCGGTCAATTATTTATTACGGGTTTTCATTTATTTCAGTGCAATTTACCATTGCTCCAATAATAGGTAATACAATATGTTAAAGGTCGAATTCACTGGCGACGAGGCTAACACTGCTTGCAGCCAACGATTTCTTGGAGCTATGCTGCTCACAGCTCCTAGATGAAAGCACTTTCAAATACTCAAGATGGTTAACACCAAGGACATTTGCGCGTTCTTCTACGACGACCTCGGCTCGGGCTGCTACGCGTGCAGGGAGTGCGGTACTGCAAGGAAGCAGCAGGTTGGCAGTGGCTACTCCAATCTAATGTCACACATCACCACCAAGCACCCCCAGTACGAGGAGATGTACTCGGCGGCGACAAACAGCGGCACCCTCCAGAGCTTTGGCGTCGTTTCCCAGGAGACAAACCACCGCTTCCAGTGGTTGCGGTGGGTTGTCGAGCGTAATCTGCCCATCTCCGAGGTCGACAACGACGTCACGCGCTCGATGAGCAAGTGGCCACCCATCTCCTCCAAGGCGTTGAAGGCGTGCATGCATACAGTGGCCAAAAACGTGGGCGTCGTCATCGACCAGGAACTGGGTGTCTCGTTCAGCCTGATGTTCGATAGATGGTCTCACGGCTCTATGCACTACATTGGGCTCTACGGTGTCTACGACGTCATGGGGGCTCGGCGTAAGCGCCTGCTCTCGCTGTCACCTTTGGGAGAAGGAGGCCAAAGCGCTGAAGCGCACGTCGAGATGATCCGAACGGTGCTCGACGTTTACAACAAAACCACCGCCATGGTGACTTTTATCGTCGGAAACAACTGCAACACCAACCAGAAGATTGCCACTCTCCTTGGCGTTCCTCTGGTTGGGTGTGCCAGCCATAGGTTTAATTTGGCCGTCAACCGCTTCCTCGCCAAGTACGAGCCTGAGCTAGCCTCGCTCAACAACCTCATGATCCAGCTACACCACTGCAACAATGCTGCCGCACTCGCCAAGTTCACGGACCTAAAACCTGCCAAACGGAATGTCACCCGTTGGTCGTCAACCTATGCGATGGTGGCACGTTACATCCGTATACGGTATGCTATTCGACAGGTCGATGGTGTCGACGAGTTGGTTCCATGTGCCGCGACCCACAAAAAGCTGGTTGCGCTCCATGCAGAGCTCGAGAAGTTGGACACCGTCTGCACGGCGCTACAGCACGAGCGCACCACGGTCGCCGATGTGCGTCTACTTTTCGACAGTGTGGTGGCGGACTATCCGGTCATGGGTGAGTACCTCCGCCCCAACGCCAAGATCGTCCACTCCCCTCTTTTCGAGTCCGCTCTGGTCAAGATCGGCAACGGTGACACCCTGTCGACCGCAGAGGCGCGCGCTGTCAAGTGCTTCCAGGCGGCCAGCGACTGCGAGGACAAAGGAGAAGGGGGTAACGGTGGCCAAGCGGCCGCCAAGAAGAAGAAGAAGCCGCGGTGCGACTACGCTGTCGCCATCTTGCGCGACGGCAAGAAGCAACGTGTGTCAGCGCGCAGCAGCGTCCGCTACAGGGCGCTGGCGAAGCTGGTGCCGCCCACGTCGAATACGGTCGAGCGGCTGTTCTCGTCGTGCAAGCTTATCATGACCCCGCACCGCAGCTGTATGCTGCCCGCGAACTTCGAGACGATCGCCTTTTTGCGCGTTAACCGGGAGATGTGGAACGCTGCGTCGCTCATCGAGCAAGGTGAGTAGATGGTGCTAGAACACACAGCCGCGACTGCAATATACTAATATTGTCCCAGTCATTTATTATTGTTGTTGTTTGCTATTGCAGTTATTACTACTGCTGTTCATTTCCTCCAGTTCCGTAGTTTACTGTATTTTCCGAGGCCTGATTGTGAGACAGTAGCCTGTCAGAAAAAAATGACAAGGTATAGTATATAGTAAGGAAAACCGCGCTTTCAGCTCTGGATTTTGTAGTTTTACAAGGGGAAAAGGCGCAGTGGATGAAAAAGAGCAGTGGCGAGAAGGCGGTGGGCTGATGCTGCAATGAAAATTATTGAGGTTACGTTGCCGTAGAAATGCAAATGACAGGGCTGGTCGCTATACCGTATCTTTGCGAAGGGAAACAACCCAAACTGTTGCAAACCATGGTCCCCGCACCAGTAGTGATGCCGAGCGGAGATCAGGTTTAGCATGTTCTGCGTTTGCAAAAGTTCCTGAGGGCAGCTTTGATCCCTGCAAACGACTATGGCTCAGCTCGATTCCAAAATGACACGGAGGCAGATTCGAGCAGAGTCGAGAGAGAACAATATGATAAGTGTATTGATAATAATCTCAGGTTACCAACCTGTGCCTGCCAGGTTTTCCAAACGCGTACGGTATGGCGATAGCTGGTTGGTAGCTAACCCCGATGGGATAACCTATGGAGGTTACAAGACGGTTGCGAATAATTAATATGTATGGGGTGGCATATATCTGTAACAGGGTGATAGTCACGCCACTCTGCCAGACAGCTGACGACAGATCAACGGACATGAACGACGAAGAAATTAAGAACCGCAACGACTGGTGGCTCGACTGCGAAGAGTCGCACACGAAAGATCGCACGGAACGAGCGGTCGAGAGCGGCCGACAAAAGATCCAAGCGGCTGGTGAGTGAGGCGGCAAAAGGGCCAAAATCACTTCGAAATCTGCTGCCAATGCGACGGACGCTAAGGGGAATTCGAAATCTGCTGACGACGACGGACGAGAACGGTGCTTCCGCGTGATGAGCGGAGTGGACGAACGAGAACTGGGCTTGCGCGCATCGAGCAAAAGTTCACGAACGATAGACGAATGAACTGGTCTCTGGTGGTGCGACAGCATTGCTGGATGACTACGAGGAACTGCGGACGGCGGTGACCAAAATGTGTAGCGGCTGAGAACGGACGACGAGTGGACGGCCAGGAGAACGCCCCGAGTCTGGCTGAGTGTGTGGCACTGTCAACGGACAGGCACCCGCATTCAGGCGGGCTACACCGAAAACTTGGACGGACGAAGGAGGCAAACGTACACGGGGGAAGTAGTCGTAAGTAGTTTTGTATTGATTGTTAGTTTGAACGTAAATAAAATAGGCTGTGCAGCCAGTCGGTTTCACACCGGTGTGGGAGACAGAGTTGTCGACCGACTGCCATCCGGGTCTTAAATGTCATCAGCACTGGACGAACTTAACTCTGTGAGTGGAGTTAGCAAACTCGCTACATATCAGGTAAAAATTGTAACAGGGTACAAACCCCAAGTGTACCCAAGTTACATGCAGAGTGACCAGTCACTCTTGTAATACCTGGTACATGGTACCAGGGGCTCTAGGAGCCAATCATTGCATACCTACATAGCTTCATTATAGTTAACTTATAGTTTGTATTAGAAACTGAGTTAAGTTTACCTATAAATAAAAATCAGTCTTAATCGTACCCTCAAGTGAGTACTTCGTCCCTCCAGACCAGGTACACATGAACGGTCGTTCACTTAGAGTTTGTATGCTCTAGCCTACTTCCTCAGCGCAAGGTGCTGTGTGACCCCGTCACAAACATGTACTTGAGTAAATTATGGGTACCATGTCTGATAAAGAGTGAAATGACACGTTTTGAAGGTTAAGAAGAGAAAACCCAACACATTGGGTTCGAAATCCAACCTACAGTAGCTCCTATGGTAACAGGTGTATCGAGTGCTCAAGCATATTTAAGTTTTGGGTTGACAGCGTTCGCTTGGCTCAGAGTATAATAGCCACCAATAACGCTGGATATAAAATCTATAGTATCCAGGCCTGGAACACATTTACAGACAACCGGTATCGCAAATACCGATACACTTCATAGAGCGCTAGAATATGGTTCCCGGTGGCCATTACCCTCCTCTTGGTGGTTAGTTCTTTGAAAACTATATTATCACTTATCAACGATTGTTAAGTATGGAAAGCTGAAGGATGGACAAAAGAAGTCCGGCATTGAATTATGCTGCTCGCAGCATTGTTTGGTTGATAGACGGGTTCTGGGTGTGGTAGCCATATACCCAGCACGTGGTGTGCGAAGCGGGGCCTACAGCGCGGGTGGAAGAGTGGCTGACGGTGTTAGTGGCGTAGGTGTTGAATGTAGAGAAGTGAGAGCGAATCTGGTTGACAATACCAACCACGCATCTTGACAGATATCTCCGTTTTCAAACTTGGCTAGCCATGGGTCTATGAACGCACTGAACTCGTGCAAACAGCCACTATTTCATGATCGTATCGCAGCATTCGAATTGCTCTATTGAAACCTCGCCAGCGCTCAAACCAGACAAGCGATCAGGTTATACCATCGAACTGGTACACTCTGGATTGTGATAACTCCAGTTTGTAATAATTTGCCCCC